ATTCAAGAGTAGGACAATGATACACTTGAAAATAATAATCATTAAGTTGGGAGTATATTATAGTTAATATACTTAATAATCTAACAATGTAATTTATACAATATATATAACTAGTAAGTAGCTGCTAATTTAATCGTCATTGTTTTCTTAACTATCTGTACAAAACCGGTCTGATAATTAGAAATAATAATAATAATATTAAAAATGTTTATACTATATCAAAATAGTAAACATTTTCCTTTCAACGAGATAAAAATGTTTATAAGTATATAATAAATATTAAAGGTTTTTAAACAAAATGAATTTAACTTTTAACTTAAACAAATTATTAGTTTATTGATAAATTTGTAACTTAACTTACTCAAATCAATTTATATTTTAAAATTAATTTTAACTTACCTTAGTTATTTTTTATTTAGATAACTTAACTTAAATTTAAAAAATTAGTTAGCTTGCCAAGCTTTGCTTCTTTCCTTGATATAAGTTATTTTTTTTTTTTTTTTTTATTATGCATCATTTCTAAATGTATATACCTACTATAAATAAATACTATTATTATATTATACTAAGCTTTAAATCATATAGGTACTATCTAAATCAATCAATATTACTTTTAACTGTTTACCTACTAATTGTAAATGTAAAAAATCTTTACTTTCTCTTAATTTCAATTGTTATTTTGATTATAATATTATTGATATAATTTAAACAAACTTAATAAATTATATACAACTGGATTCAATGCAAATCGCAACAAATAATCACTGCGTTCAGCATTATTAATTGGCATGAACTATAAAACCATTGATTGCGATGTTATTAATTTTTATTAGACTATCCTTAATACCGTTCATAAATACATTTCGACTTACCCTAACTACACTTCTAATTATCTTATTAGGTTTGACTATAAACTTAAATTAATAACTAAAGAAAATAAATTGACACATATTTTTTTTATATAATCGTGATTAAATTCAAATTTTTTACAATTCTCAACTCTAAAAACACAATGCAAATTATTATAATCAAGATACTATAATAATAATAATAAATATACATAATTTATTGATTGAAATCCTAAATATTTTTGGAAATATTTTAAAATAATTTACTAACTTTGAAAAAGCCTTTGATTGACTTTGTGTAATAATTTATTAATTATTAAATTTCATAAATATGGGATTCACGATCCTATTCTTTCTTGGATATCGTATATCTTAATAAATAAAATCTATATTGTTAACTATGGCACATTTTTATCTAATACTATTACAGTTCCTTTAAGAGGACGTCGTACCCGCATATGTTGTCTCCGTCTTACAAATGCGTAACATGGCAAATAGTACTCTCAGAAGATCACGTTTAGCTCCTTCAGCTTGAAAATTAGAATGAATTGACCTCTTTTGAAATTTAAAAGTGAGGTTATTATCTAGGGCATCTCATAGGCTTTTTATTATATTTTAATTTTAAAGCAAGTTATGAGTGTTTTAAAATTGTAAATTGCTTGCACGTCTTAAAACAAACATAACTCGCTTTAAAATTAAAATATAATAAAAAGCCTATGAGATGCCCTAGATAATAACCTCACTTTTAAATTTTAAAAGAGGTCAATTCATTCTAATTTTCAAGCTGAAGGAGCTAAACGTGATCTTCTGAGAGTACTATTTGCCATGTTACGCATTTGTAAGACGGAGACAACATATGCGGGTACGACGTCCTCTTAAACATACATCAAGGCGACATCACTTCTGTGTTAAAACATTTTAATTGTATAGGAACTTCTACTACTAATTTATATAAATACTAACTCAGCATTATTGATTAAATGTTACTGATTTACAATTTATAAATACACTTAGATAACTTTTTTATTTGGCGTTTCAGTAATGAAATAAAATCAAGCCAATTTTAACAGAATAAAAATTAAAAAACTGTTTGATAAATCAAATATCTTCAGTCAATTATTTATGCGTCAGATTTAACTCAAAATTAACTTTTAATGAATACATTTTAATATTTATATAATAAAAAATAAAACTTAACTAAAACTAGATGTTAGCAATCGTTATTGCTTTAATTTTAAAAATTAATTTGCATTGAAAAATCTTTATTTCTATATTGCCTATCCAAACTGGAAATAGTCTTAAATCACTTAAATATATATCTCATATGTTCTTCTAAAGTCCCAACATAACACATATCACTAAGACAAACGCTTTACTTATTCTCTTGAATCAATTTAAAACGTTTTTGTTTGACAAATTTATAGTTCAAAATCACCCGTAATCCGTATTGATACAATACAATTTTAAAATTTTTTTTTTAAATACTACAATTAAGAAATTGAAGAAAGTATCAAAATATGTCGAAACAATTTTAAAATAAATAAAAAAACTTACTAAAAATATAGACACTTTTGTAATTTTATACTATCATAATAATTATATTCTGCACTCACCAACTAATATTTTAACGTCTTCCAGTATAACTGTATTCATATTGATAAATTTAGGTAATTGTAATCCAAATAATATTAAAATATGAAATCCAAAATAATATTAATCATTCTAAATCACCTATATATTATTGTATATTGTTTTTTTTTTTTTTTTTATGTATTACTTATACACTATTATCTAATAATACTGTTTTAAATAATTATGTTGTAAATAAAGTTTTACACTCTATATATGAATAAAAAATATATAGGTAATGTGTATGCATTATTTAATGGCTTGACGGCAGAAATAAATTAGGACATTTTCTACAATCAATAATAATATTTACAACTTTTTAGCTACTCTTGGCTAAATATGTCAATTCGGATATCATCTGAATACTATATTTTTTTCCACCAATATTTCAATTGAATATATCTTCCATTACGCTTATATAGCATTTGTCAATTTAAAAAAATTGATAAAAATAATACATATATATATATAACAATATTATTTTTATTAAATATTATCAACATTTTTTTTCAAGTACTTGAAAACATACTCATCTTCTCAAATTCACCTTTATTTTGCCACTACAAAAGGATTATAATATTAAAATAAATACAAACAATTTTATAAGTTTGCAAAAATAAAAATTATTAATTTAACACAAATTGTATACTGTAAACGCCATCTACCGTTTCTTCTTGGTAGTATTGGAATATGTGTGCATATTAAGCGGGTATCGGCTTACGCGTACCTGTAGGTAACATTGGTAACAAGTAACAAGCCAACACTAACAACTAACAGCATAGATTATGTATAAGTTTTAGTTTTCTTGGTGTAAAATGTGAATGAGTTTTTAGTTAAAATATTATTTTACTTATGTCTAGCTATCTATTTCGTAATATTTTCATCACATCAATAACCCTCAATGACATTTACATTGTTCTGAGTAAAAAAAAAAAAAACATTCACTATAAAATTATAATACTGTTTTGAACTAAGTGAACTGAAAATCATAACAAGTACCTACCTAAAACTCTAAACTATATTATTTTTAATTGATTTATTTTAATTTACTTGACGAAAATAATATCTTTACAGAGATTAAACTGCAGTGATGCTCTATAATTATTTAAATTTTAATATAAAAAAGTTTTCACGAAATATATAACTACCTACCTATTATTTTCAGTTTATTCAGCGCAATGCCGCAATATCATCTTTTTTATAGCGAAAGATTTTTTTATGTATAGCTTTGTTTTATACGGAACAACATTGATGGTTTTTGTTAAGATATCACCACTGTGTGACTGAACACAAATAGTGATGGGAGCATTGAACACATACGCTTCATTAATTTAATTTTAATTTTCATGATTAACGTAAATTTTATAAATGAATAATCTGCTTAATATTATTGATATTTTCGTTGGTATTTTAAATAAATATGCGGTTTTTTAATTATAACGAATTTAACACCAAACAACGGAATTTACACGGCTTAAATGGGTAAACCATAGATGTAATCTGAGGTAAATTTTTGGGGGGAAGATTAAGGTAAAATAAAAATCTATTAGGCATGAAAAATAGAAGGCCTTAATGTTAATTTTATATTAAATGATATTATATTTATTAGATAATTATCTTTATCATGAATGAAAAAAAAATATTATTATAAAATATTAATGCATCATTGTTTTTTTTTATGTTTAAATAAATGTAATTTAACTTATAACAGGAAGGCAGATTTCCCGCTTTTCCCCTTAATTATACCTATAGAGTAAATTATAGAGTTATAAAAACTCTGCATATTAAAAAAAATCTTGGACAAAAAGTCCAAATTGAACAAAATTGAAGAAGTCCAGCTTCATTTTTTTTACTGACAGACAAAAAATTAGAGCACGTTTTTTAAGTTGGACAAGTCCTTAAAAGTTATAAGTTATTTTAATAGCTTTTTTAAAAATAATAAATATACTTGGGCAGGTTTTTTTTATGAACACTCAAACTTTAAATTTTAATGAAATTTACAAATTAAAAATATATAAAAATGTTCAATTTTAATAGCTAAAAGGTTGAAAATGTAACACAAGGTTTTGATATCAACCTACCGTAATACTAATCGAAAAATAATTAACTTTAATAGTAATATCAATTAACTAAACATGAAAAAAATAGGTACTTTGTTTCTACTGTCTAGAGATATTATAAGTAAGAATCGTTTTTTGTGTACAACGGTTTATCATTCAATTCAAATTTTACACAACCATTAAAGACTCACTCGACCGACACCTAGCAGTGTACATTACAGCAGAGTGATACTGTGATAGCCACTTGGCGCCACTTGCCCACCTTTTTCATGTTTAATACCGATGGGCAATGATTATTAGTATTAAGTTATAACCGTGACGTAGTACCTCCATGCGTGGCTTAATAAATAGAAAATATTGTTTAACCATGCCTCCGCGGAATCCACATTGGTTATAGTAATAACTGATAACTGATAACTGATAACTGATAACTGATAACTGATAACGTTCCTATAATAATTGTTGTATATAATGCATAAGCATAACCAACAATCATCTGTGCAGCATAGCGGATTTTGATTACCTACCTAGTTTTTACATTTTTCCTACGTTTGAAAATGGCTTCATCTATAGAAAACTTGTCATTGCAATCTAAAGAAGACAAGAACGAAGAGGAAGATGTGGTAAACCCGTGGAATGTTTGTTCAAAGAACAAAACAGGAATTGACTATGACAAACTCATTAGTAAGCAATTGCTATTAATTACTTTTTCTTTCCAACAAAAATTGTATTTTTGCGATATTTTTTCATTTTTATAGAAAGTTATTATATAGATCAGTACCTACATTGCTTTACATTTATAATATACATTACTTTTTTGTTGAATTATTCATTCCCTTCAACATGCTCTATTGATATTCTCAACTATTGTATACGAATAGTAGTGAATTGACTCACTGGAACATTGGTTGTTTTCCTGATAAATATTATGTAGTTTGTGTTTTTTCATTATTATTTGATTAATGTTTATCAAATTACTTTAATAAAATATAAATAACCATCTTAAGCGTATCTTTATCATCAATCTCAACATTAATTATAGTTATAATAAGTATACTATATTATACTATGTTATAATTATAATAGTATCATATATTTAATAGATTATTAAACATTTATTAATAATATGCATTTGACTAGATTCGGCTGGCGAGTGTTATGAGTGATTGGTCATAATTTTATTTTTTTAAAGTAATAATTGGTACTAATATTATTAGAAAATTCAAGTTGTTAAAGATCCTAAGACTCAGCAGTGCAATAGTTTGCCTATCTGGTGTTGTTATCTTATATCTGCATACTTTTTAATATATTATTTGAAAGTAATAATTAAGTGTATTTAATTAACTTATTTATTTTTAAGAAAAAATCTGAAATAAATAGTATATTAAATTTTATAATATACATAATATGTCCTGACTGATTCATAGTTACCCAGCTGAAACCGTTGATACTATGATTATGGAGTTAGGTCAGTAGTTTTACTTAAACTATTCTAGGAAAGTTAATTATTTTATTTATTTTGATTTGATATTACTGTATTTATTTTAATCTGTGACTTTTTAAACACCATCTTATATATTTATGCAAATAATTTAATATTAACTTCATTAACATTAATTACATTTATAATAAAAGTTTTTTTTTCTTAAAATAAATATTGCTTCTATGTATTTAATTTATTACCTAGTAAATTATAAACTAATTATATAAATGATGAATCAATTAATAATATTTTTTAAGCTTTTAATACTAATCAAATATATATTGTATACAATTATTTTTTTATGTCCGACAAGTATATTTTTTTAAACATAAAATGCTTTATGTATTTAATGTGAGTTGATATAAATGAAGCTTAAACTAACTTACTGAAAACTATAGATATTTGTTTAGTACAAACATATAAAGTTAAAAGTAAATTTACCAATTTAAATTTAAATTTTAAAAAATGTATCTTCTATTTTCTTCAGTTGTGTTAAATGAATAATATATATACATATTATATTGTATAAATATTATTAATTTACATTTTGTTATCAATTATAGATTAGGTATATGAATTACATTATGTTTATATTATATTGTTATTTAATTTTTTATTTTTAGGTTTGTAAATATAATGTAACAATGAATATTAAAAATATTTAATTAATTAGTATAAAAATGTAATTTTTTTTTTTTCAGGTAGATTTGGTAGTAGTAAAATTGATGACAAATTATTGCTACGCATCGAGGCTGCTACTAAAAAACCTGTTCACCATTTCCTTAAAAGAGGAATATTTTTTTCTCATCGAGATTTACACAGTATTTTAAATTTATATGAACAAGGAAAACCTTTTTATTTATATACAGGAAGAGGACCTTCTTCAAATTCTCTACATATTGGACATTTGATACCATTTATATTTACAAAGTAAGATTTTTATTTATTTAATTTTAAATTCTAAACAAACCAGTTGTTAATATTTTATTGTTTTCAGGTGGTTACAAGATACTTTTAATGTACCTCTTGTTATACAGTTGACTGATGATGAAAAGTATTTATGGAAAGATTTAACATTAGAAGAAGCAAAGATGTTGTCTGTTGAAAATGCTAAAGATATAATAGCATGTGGATTTGACAAAAAGAACACATTTATATTTTCAGATTTACAGTTCATGGGGTATTAGAAATATTCAAAACTTAATACATTAATATGTTTTGGTTTAAAATAAATACAAATTAAATGATTTTAGTGAATGTCCATCTTTTTATGCTAATGTACTAAGAATTCAAAAAAGTGTTACGTTTAATCAAGTAAAAGGTATATTTGGATTTGGAGATAGTGATGTAATCGGAAAAATTGCATTCCCTGCCGTTCAAGCTGCTCCTTGCTTGTCTTCAACATTTCCATTTATATTTGGAAATGAAAAAGTTCCTTGTTTAGTTCCATGTGCTATTGATCAAGTGAGAATTACATGTAATTTAGTTATCATAATAATTGTATAATAAAAATATTTTTTACAGGATCCATATTTTAGAATGACAAGAGATGTTGCTCCTAAGCTTGGATACTTAAAACCTGCTTTAATTCATTCATCATTTTTACCGTCTTTACAAGGAGCTGATACTAAAATGTCAGCTAGTGATTTGAATTCATCTATCTATTTGAAAGACACTCCTAAGGAAATAAAAAATAAAGTTAGTTTAATTTTTTGAAAGATTTTTTTTCTTTATTCATTTTATTATTTCTTATTAAACAGATAAACAAGTATGCATTTTCTGGAGGGCGAGAAACAGTTGAATTGCATCGTGAAAAAGGTGGTGATTGTGATGTAGATATATCATATCAGTATTTAAAACATTTTCTAGAAAGTGATGAAGAATTAATGAAAATTGAAAAAGTAATAAATATAATTAATAAATCTATTGTTATTATTTCATTACAAATAAATATAATATTTTAATGTGTTAATAAGGCTTATACTTCTGGAAATATGTTAACTGGAGAATTGAAAAAAATATTGATTGAATCTATTTCAAAAATTGTGAAGGAGCACCAAACAAACAGAAGCAAAATTACTGATGATGATGTCAAAGAATTCATGACTCCGAGAAAGTTATCATAAACAACTATGATAAAAATACAATTAAATATTTAAAAACTAATTAATTTCCTGATTTTACTTTTAATTTATATGTCTTACATAATTTATGTACACACATACAAAATATGTTATTGAATGTAATGAAAAACTAATTTAAAATGAATAAAGTACAATCCATTTATAATTGTATGACAACAGTTATTTTTCTTGGATAACTTATTATCATTTTATGTATGTTATAACACTAAAAAATTTATGTTGTGTAGTAACAAAACAATGATATATGGTTAGGTTAGGCAATGTTTTAATGCTATGTTTTATAACTTATTAATTAATTGTAAATTAGACTAACACTTGTTATTATTATAAAAAATAATAATAATACTACCACATAGTAAAAAATGAAAGCAAGGCAGGTAGGATATTTAATATATATTTTCGTTTAAGAAAATGTCACACCCATAATGTTGTTTCTTTTAACACATGGATAATAGCAAATTTGTGTTGTTAGATTTAATATTAGAATGTGAATTCACTTATTATCAAGCCTAAAAGTAAGAACATTATTTGTGTTCTCTTGTTGGATTTTTACAATATTTTAATTTTTAAACAATTTGTAAAAATGTTAAATTTTTATAATTATTTTTATAGATTCACGACTTGCTAAAAATTAAACAATACTAATAAGAAAACACAAATGTTCTTACTTTTTAGTTTAATAATATAGATCAATTTAGTATACACTATAATATTTAAGTGAATAACACAAAATTGGAACTATAGAATGTAAATTGAGGAGTGGAAATCCAAAATGTACTATTGCCAAAATTTTCAAAATTTAGTTAGAGATCAATTTTTATAAAAAAAAACATTGATAAATCAATTGTTGTTAAAATATATCTTAACGTACTATTTTCCATTCAAATCTGTTGTTCAAAATGGCTGTTTAATTCAAAACAAACCTTTTTCATACATAAAAATTATATTTAGTTATCAAAACATACTTTTTACAGTTTTACGCCAAAAAATTCTATTGCCCATGTCAAAAAAATAAGTACCAATCCAGTTAACTAACAAAATGAACTATTTCCATAAATTATTTCAAAACGTACTAAAATTTTATTTTCAAATTTTTAAATAAGTCATTATCACAACCATTAAGTTTGAAATTAAATTTGATACATGATACTAGATTATTTAACAAATTTGAATTAATTTAAATTAAAATAATATATTATTATATAATTTAAAATAAATATCCTATCTTTAAAATGAATTGTAGTATGTTTCCATAAATATTTACAACGATCACAATGCATTTATTGTTTGTTGCTCATATAGTTGCATTATTATATTATAATATTAAGTTAATAATAAATTTAATTATGAATACAAAGAAAAGATCTATAAATCTGGTGGAAGCTATATTAATTATAATTCATATTAGTAAATACTATACATTAATTTAATTTAACAACTGTATTAGAAGGTAAGTATACTTAATTATATGTTTATATTCTATACTCTGTGGTTTTTAAGTTATAATTTTTAATCAATAGCTATAACTCATAAGTAGTAACTAATACTGTCTGTTAAACTTATAAAATATAAATTAAGACAATAAACAAGTAAATATTAATGTGGTTTATTTAAATAACATAAAACATCAAATTATATCAATACGTATATTATTTGTAATTTCTTTTATGCATTGATTAGATGACAAGGTACAGCAAGCTGGTTATGTTTCATTAATTGCCTTTGAGGATTTTCAAGTCAAGTAGGAAAACTTCGATTCCCAAACTGCTGAGCTATATCCAAATACTTCAACTGCTGCTATCATTTCAAATATAGCTTTAAAATTTGAATGCTTTAAGTTGTAATCTATAAATATATTATTTTCTATAAAATAGTTTTTTACATAAATTGTTTCTTCTCCTTTGAAGAAATACTAATATTAAGATCCTTAAATATTTTGAAATCATTATACCTAATTCAATTTGTATGTATTAGGTATAGCTTTAATAAGTTCATTATTTTTTTTAAACGAGTTTCCATTTTAGATTTTATTATGTTAATAACATAATAAAAGGTAGGTAGGTTTGTATAATAACGATAAATACTAATAATATCGTTTTCGACATAATATGTTTAAGTACCTACTAGATGATTCACTTAAAATATTAACATTGAGGTTTATAGGAGTCTTTTTTTTACGTTTTGTAGATTCCGTTTTATCTTCGGGTAACAAACTGGTTGTGTGGAGGGGGCTGAGAGAGAAACGATTAAGTCCTGGGAGGCAATGCCCCCCTAGCCCACTGTGGCTACGGGCCCGTATCGCTATGGAAATATTCAAGTAGGCGTAAACCATAAAACCCAGTAACCATCGTATTCCAACAATAGAATCGTCTGGGTTATTAAAAAAAAAAAAAACTTTTGTGGTAATAATCTGCTCTGCATTGTACCTACAGTAAATAAAATAGAATTTAAAATTATTTCTTATTTGTTTTGCTAAATGTTAGGATCTATCAATTTCTAAGTTCGTTTTCGAAAACACCATTAAAACATTTCATTAATATAAGTACTGAATTTCTGATTTTTAAGTTTATGATTAGTTGTAGCATTTCTCAGTTTTCCATTTATTAGTCCATCATAATTTGTTATTTTTTTTTAATACAAACGATACTGCTTAGTAGTTTAGTCACTATGAACTTTAATATTTATCTGTTTAACTAATGTCAATAAATGATAAATGAATATTGTTATTCTAAATACTAATAGGTTTCAGACAATTAATTTAATAACGAATAACAACGCATAAAATTGATCATTATGGATTTTCAATTTTTATAGATATATTATTATCTAGGTACCTACTAATAACTGATGTATGCCAGTTATAACGTTTAGTATTTTGTTATATACCAATAATACTGTTTAAAACAATATATATTGTAATGATGTGCGTCTAAGCAATCATATATAATTAAAATTAAATATTTAAATACAGTATAATAAAATAATTTAAAATAGTTACGATAACTTTTGATAGTTATAATAGTAATAAGTTGTTAGTATTAAATAAGATAAAATTATAGGAATAGATAGCATACATAGGTACACACGCACACACATACAAGACATTAGTTATAAAAAGGTCGTCACCGATGGTCAAAGGACAGTGTTCTTACCGTCTTTTTGTTAAGACGATCACAAGCGAGTATAAAGACTACATAGATCGGATATACAATAAGACGTAAGTGTTAAAATTATTTTTAGTTAAAATTAAATATAATATGTTAATGTCGAAATATTAAATTATAATTTAGTTATTACCCAGTAGATAGCACACAATAAGTAAGTAGTATTACCTACTGTAGATTAGCTATATAGTTATACATTTATAAGGGAAGCAAAATTGCTGAGATGACACATTCTTATTTGTGTGTAACATTTCATATTACCTATACTGCTATAGTATGTTTTATTATAGGACAGTCGAGTTACGCGACCCATTGCTGTCGTACGTTTTTTAGTGCGTTATATTATTAGGTATATTACAATGTATATTAAATTGTTTGTTAATTAATTTACACGTGTTTGGATTACTTAATTATTTTATTCCTTTTAACAGTTAAATAATTCGTGTATTGAAAAATAATAATAAAGTTAATAAGTGTACTTGAGTAAAGAAAGTCTTGTAATTATTTAATATATACTGGTTACCTTACTACATACCTACTCAGAAACTTCACTACAACATCAATAGAGAAGTCGCTGTCAGAAGAAGAAAGGTAATATACTAATTTGTAATTAATTTAAAAGCATATAATCGAACCCCGATATATAAAATACAGTGAAACCTCTAAATAGCGAACACTCTTGGTCACCAACATTTTGTCCGTTATTCAGAGGGGATACATTTTTGAAATCTATTTTTATAATAATGTACTATGTATGTATATATATTATATACATACATATAATGTTATTACTTATTATTTATTGTAAATTATTATATTTTTATAATCAAAATTAAAATTATGTACATGTATTTTTAAATTATTTTTGTATGAAAAAATCGGTGAGCTTTGTTTATAATTAATGTAGTCATCGCGTCGAAAACCGTCAGTATCTGACATACTTTTGTCATAACACAACCGCTTCACCGATAACCGAATTTGTCGTAATCATATCGTCCTTTAACGAGTTTGTTATCGTAATTACATTATTACGAGAGTGCATACGTATGTGAATACGTATTATTTTCAAATAATTATTGGGGATTTACCATTATTTTAAAAATTCCCTAATAAAATAATGTCCGTTATTCGGAGGGTTTCTTATTGAAAAATAGTGAAAATGTCCCCGTTCCCCAAAAAACGTCCGCTATTGGGAGGTGTTCGTTAGTGGAGGTTTCACTGTATTATAAAGGTCTTTTTAAATTATTACAATATTTTTCGTCAGTGACACTACGTAATCTTTGCAAATAGGTAACTCTGCTATATATAGGTAGATATTAGATTATGAATATCAATTTGTTATCTAGCTTGTTAACCATTTTAAAAGATACCTTAATATAATATACATATATTTATTAATTTAGTTATTGCCTCTGTAATAATATTATAATAGGTATTTAAAATAGGTACGCGTTTACGCAGCATAGACAATGTAGGTATTTTGTAATAAAACATGGGCTTTTACATTCAATTTGAATAATATAGAAATATTTCGAGACATGTTTGTGTCTATTTGATAGAATCAAGGCTTCAAAACGTTTTTTATAACATTATAATGGAAAAATATTTAAAAAGTTTAACGAAATAAATAAACAAAAAAAAATCGAAAATCTACGATAAGATATAATAATATGTTTATACTTAATAGTTGAGTAGGTACTGAGTAGTAAGTACTAATACTGAATACTCAGTGATGTAGTCGTAATTTTTTTAGTGAGTATACGCTTAAAATGTGCTTGACATGTAAACACCCTCCTAATATACTAGATACATTATTATTATTTTATATTTATAATTACATAAATATACTATGTCACTTTATTACTAGGTACTGTCGTATACACCGATCACTCGTACGTACACAATAAATTAACAAACAAAATAGTTCAATAAGTTTTATTACTGTGCCACGACTCGTGGACCTCCCTCGACATATCTTAATATCTACTCCCTTATATACTAATTATTTCATTACCTATACATACAATTGTCCTACTTCTAATATTATTATTATCTTAACCTAGTTACAAAGTAAAACTTAAACTATGTTTTCTACTACTTGTTTTTTTAACCTCATTTTTAAGAATTTTTTAGTTTCAATTATACATACAATATACATATTAACAGAATTATAGAAAAATATTAAAATACAAAATAAAATATATCTCATACTCTTTGAAATTACTACAGGTGTATTGAGTTACTGTTAGTTAAATTTGGTATTTATTTAGGCACCTAACATGCTTAGCTTTTAAAATAATAGGCAAATGACAATTTAAAAATAACACATAAACAAATAAATAAATTATAACATTTTTCACACACTAGCTTTTTCTTCATTTAATTTTATTTGTGAAAATTGTCGAGATCAGTTAGCATCTTATCCGTTTCATACGAGTTTAATACGTTTTCCTAGTTCCTACAATGTATATAAATAACTTTATGGTCAGTATACCTACGCTGTGCAATAGATAATATAATTGTTTAATTACAATGTTAAACTGTTATATATTTACTAAAAAATACTAGGCTATAGCCCATAAGTGTCAAAAAAACCTTTTTAATAAATCATAAACGCAAATAAATAGTGTATTTTATAAGTTAGGAATAAGTTTATACTTTAAACTGTATCGTCAAAAGGGGCGAATAGGAACTAAAGGTGGAATAGGAAGTAGTAACAAACTAGGAAATATATTTGTTTCATTGTTCTCTTTTTACAAATATTAAACCGTTAACATTAGTACTAATGTCATTTGGTACTGCATGTATTTTAAACAAATTTTGTTATATTTTCAATTGAATGGTAGCTGTTTACCTCCAATGACAAAACGTTATCAATTATGATTTTAAATTCACTTTTTTTTTAAGTGAAAAACTTCTCCAAATATACCTACATATTTAAATTAAAAGTAAGTTGTTTATGATAGATTATTCTAACACTAGACACATATTGATGATGATTAAGACGCAATGCTTAAGTGTGTTACAAGAATTAACTTTTTTACGGTGACTGAAATTTTAGAAAACATATTTACGAACATAATCAGGGTGAGTAGAAATACTGTTGATCTAGGTATATTTTAATAGAGAATATTTTTGCGTATTGATACGTATTTGTTCAAATCGATCGTTCTAGAATAGATACGACTTATTTATACGAGTAATGCGTATCAATTCATATTGGACTTTAATTCTAATATGAACCGGTACGTAACTACGTACCTATCGATACTTATCGGACTTTTAACTCCAATGCGAACCAGTACGTAACTACCTAGGTATATAATATTGAGCAGTTATCTTAAATGATTATTAATTTTCGCCGTAATTCGTTAGATACGATAAAATACGATACGATAATACGAAACTTTAACTAAACTCGATCACTGATGATATATTTTTGAATTATAAAAATACTATACATATACGATATACCTATTTAATGAAAATGAATAATTTGATTTAATAATTAATAGTTTTAAAATTTAACTTTTACAATATTTATTTTTGTATTTTTACCCCACTACAAAGATACAATAGCTTTAAACGAATTAACGTTTTTGGTCTATCGAAAAAAATCGACGATTTGTGCTTTTGCGAAATACTATGAATACCTTTAATATTAGCAACTGTTTTGGTTAGGTATAGAAACCGTCAAATCGATAAGGTTTGTTCGAAATTTTATTTATTAATTAAAAAATATTTATCAAATTGGTTTATAAAATAAATGCATTCCCATTAGCGTATATGTACCCGCGTTTCATGTGTTATTCTATAAGTATACGCACTAAAGCCGGGGCTATACACTGCGTATTCTGCGAAGTTTTTCGATGGACTAGCAGTAGCTATACAATATACAAGGGGTATCCGTCGAGCGTAATCTGCCGCGTATGTTTGCATAATATCTAAAAAAAAAAAAATCATAAAATTATGGTATAAACTCGACGTTTTTTATCACCAGTATAGTCCATCTTAATTTAAAACAATGTAAAATTAGGAGTTTGCGTTTTTATTACTCCGGCGTTCGTCCGCCAAAATGCAAGCCGATGGCGTTTTCTGCCGCGGATGAAAGCGCGGCGTATTACATCCGTCATGTATAGCTACTTCGATATAAAACAATGAATCTTGAACTCGACGGAATACACCGTGTTAATAACCTCGGCCTTATGAAAAAATAGAGAATTAAGTTTACGACGTATACGCTCCACTACACCACTGCAGTAATGCTATTAAAAATTCATCATTGTAGGTATTTCGAAAGGAGAAAAATATAAACGTTATTGTTCCGTATCCGTTTTAAATTATCATTATCAGAGCATAGTACTAATGAATAATGATCATATACGTATATGATCAAAGGTCGAGCCGCAACGGAATAATGGAATATGGATCAAGTGAACGCTGATTCGTTTCATAGATCAGTCGTCAGCGAGATGAGAAATTGAGAACCACTGAAAACTGAACCCATTTTGGGTATCCTATGATATATATTGTATGTAATGACGTCGCCGTCGAAAGCCGACAGGCGACAACACATTTGAACACAACAGCTACCAATTGCAGACGTTGCAGTAACCAGTAACCACCGAATACCGAAGCCGCCGCCACCACTGTCTACTCCCCACCACGAAACGGATAACTCGGAATGCCGATGCCCGACTATAGCGCTGCAACTGTACCGCGACCGCTTAAGCCGTACGGTGTACACTGTTTCGCATTTTAAACCGGTCGCTGGTCAGCCATTTATTTTATTTGAAGTCTTCACTTCTTCATCATCAGTGTTGTTTGCTAAGTTTGCTTGTCGACTGTTTTATTAAGGTAAGTACTATTTTAGTATTTTCTTCTCACCACATCCGAGTTCCCATACAAAAGTATAACATTAATAACAATAATTTATAATACAGCGTGTTACAATATATTTTATTGTTTTGTTTTTCGTCGTTCGTTATCGCAAATTTCAATTTAGCGTCTAGAAAACACGTGTTTGTTTGCGTTTTGTTTATTTTATCTGTTAATTATGCCAGGTTAAGCTTTAAACCTTTTCCAGTTCCTACAGATTTTGGTTAAACTAGCGATTAAAGTACAGAGTAATCATGAAAAGACCACTACGAACAGTGATTACGTCCAGATCTAAGAATATGGTTGTTTTACATGCCAAGTATCCGAAACGGTTACTTTTCTATGGATTGCTGTCTATTTTAACATCTACTGTAAGTACATGAAACCTGTATATTACTTAGTAAAACTTAAAGTATGTCTAATTATAACGCAATTCATATTAATATTTAGCATGTTGTTTGAACCCTTTAAACAAAAACCTGTGCAAAATCGGTAATACACAGTTAATGTTTTCATATTGATATGTCCTGACTATTGTTACAGTTAACAAGTATTTATTTATTAAAACGGTAATCAAAACCATTTTATAAGGCCCTTCCAAAATACTTGAATTGCAATCTAATTCGTTAATGAATAGTATAATGTACCTGTAAATATATCTGTAAATTACAATACTCTATTCAGAAAATGAAAATAAAGTAAATTATTAAAACAATTAAAATTATTGTATTAATTTTGTAAAAAACAAATCAAACTTTTTATCTATTTCATACTTAATTTATAAGATTCAAAAAAGCATGCATGTTGGTATTTTACAAGCTAAACAGATTGTTATAACTTGATTACATTTTCTTTGTGCTTCTTTCTTTTTTAACACTACAAGTTTATTATAACAAAACATGCATCTTTTATGAGGTGAATTAAATTTTTGTAATTTGTGTTGGAGAAACATCTTTTTTAATTAACCCTACTACAATTTATTCCTTGAACACTGTTCTTTGAATTGTTTTGTTATATAATTTACAAAATAAGGATAAAGTATTAGTCAAAGAAGTACCTAACAAAATAGCTACTTTTCGATATCATTTCAAACTTCTTTACAAAGGTGTAGAATATGAAATCATTTGATTACAACTACATTTGTACTACTTTGTTGTACAAAAATTTTACCTTTTTTGAGTTTTTTGATTATAACAAGCTGTGAATGCCCTTTCTGTTGGCACGTAGAGTACCAACAACATGTATTTTTTTCTCATTTAATTTGGGAGCCAAAGTTACGCTTGTATACCAATTATTTATGAATAGCTCTTGTCAAAAATGTAAATAAGGTTCCATGAGTTCTAACACGATTTTAGTAGATACTGCAGTTTCAGCAACCATTTCTTTACCAGTATACATTTTATATTTAGATGTATATAAATCACTTTAACACAATTTAAATATATTGATTCCATACCTATGTATTTTATTTTTCAAATATTGCTTAAATTTAATTATTTTTAAAATAGAACAGATTTATCAATACATACACTAAAAGTACATAAAGTATATAATCATCGTTAAGTAGGTACTTCAATCGTATATTTTTCAATTTTGAGAGCTAATTTTTTATTTTATTTTGAAACCAGTTTATTTAAAGGTGCATTAATATTAATTTCAGATATTGATAGATTTTTCATATTTTCTACTTTTATACATTCTTTATGTTCAATAAAGGCTAAAATGATTCAAGCGCACACCACTTATGAGCTAAACTGAAAGTCATATGTCTACTAGTTGAAGTCTTATGATATGTGTTAAATGTAGGCTTTAGAGTGTATTATTGATGTTTATAATATTATAGTTGCCACATCAGTCTCTGTACAACGTAGATATCATCTATAACATAGATAACATACAATATGATCAAAGTTTATGTAGATAGCATACAATGTGAGTTGCTACTTTTATTATTTAATTAAGTTCTGGGATAAATCAAAGTCTCGATTAAGATTTTCTGGACACCGAGACAAACTTCTAAAAACCGGAATGTCTGGATACCCTACCTTCATGTTATTTATTCACCCTTATTTTTAGTTTTTATAATACAATTTGTTTTATTATTAAGAATTCTCATGTAATCATCATGTATTTCTCGTCAAAATGAAGGTATTCACTTTTATTAAAGTTAATATTCTCTTTTATTTATGATTTAATGGATCATTTTTTTATATAATTTTAATTAACCAGTTTTAGAGATAACTTTTAAAAACTGTAAATTATGAAGTAATTTTACAATATGTAATAATATAAAATAGTGTTATAATATTTTATATATTGGGGTTCGATTATAAGCCTTTAAATTAATCATAAAACAGTATATTATTACCTTTCATCTTTCTGACAGTGACTTCTCTATTGATGATTTGAGTACATTGTAAGGTAATCAGTTAAAAAATTATGACACTTTATTTAAGTAAACTTGTTAACTTTATTAACATTTTTTCAATACATTAATTATTTAATATATTTAATTTTAACTATTAAAAACTTCAACACTTACGTCTTCTTGTATATCTGATCTGCGTAGTCTTTTACTCTCACTTATGATCGTCTATACAAGAAGACAATAAGGATACTGTGTGACAGGCCTTTTTATAATTAATATCCTGTATGTATGTGCGTGTGCATGTGTGTTATCTATCGTTCTTATAATCTGACTATAGGTCATCAATATTTATTTTATTATACTGTAATTAAATATTTAATTTTAATCATATATGATTACAAATATAATTCTTTTTCTTGTGTTGCATGCGCACTTCCAGTAATCAAGTTTAGGGTGTTTTAAATTAATAATTATAACAATTAAAAATAACAATATATATATATATATATATTTAATATAAACTAAAATACAAGTAGAATTGTAATATAGCAGTTAAGTGACTGAAAGTGTTTAAGTCTTAATGGCTATGGTACATCTGATATTGCTGCTCTCTGGGCTCCCTAATATATGAAATAAGTTGCTTGTTATTTGTAGCCCACACCTTTGCATTTCGTAGATTTTCTTGGAGTTGTTTTGTTACTTGTTATTAGTGAAGATCAATATCCAGGATGCAATTTATTTATAATTGCCAACACGTATCAGTGCAATCGCTTATTGCAAACAGGTGACATCAATGATGCATTTCACTTGACCTTGGCACGCACAATGCACTATTGCAGTGTTAACCATAATATATATATAATCAAGTTTTGTAGCCCTTAACACTTGTTCAGGAACTTCATCATTAACGATTATTAGAAAATATATTTTAAGCTAACTATTTTAATTAGTTTTGTCACAATGCTTCATGAAGATCTGTTAAAGAAGACTTGGAAAACAATTTTAGTTTTCCATTTACATATATTGAAATACTGGGATTAAATAAAAAAAAATTATCACTTTAACATGGTTTCTTCTGTTTATGTATAAGTTAAGTGCATCAAGTTACTTATTATGCAATTTTGATAAATATTAACTTGATTTGATAATTTTCATGTCTTATTTTTAGTATCATGGGCTTTCCTTAAGTAGAGGAATGTTATAGATTAGGTAATTAATCAATTGTATTAATAATAAAGTAGTATTAAAAAAAATTTATTTTAGAACTACAAAAATATTTGTATAAAGTCTAATTTAATATCATATACTTTTCTTAATATTTCAGCTCATTATTTATGTTTAGCCACTTGATGTGACAATTAATCGGGGAGTGAATATGAGAATATTTTTTCTTTAAATAAGTATCTAATATAAAATAAAGTAATTTATGATTTTTTATTACATATCTTGGTATCAATAAATCAGGATAATTTTTATTTGAAAAATAAATAATAAGGCAAAAAAAGTAAATTAATTTTGAATTTTCAATGAAAAAGATATAATATAACTTTTACAAACATCATAAAATTAGATAAAAATATATACAATCATGAAATGTGCTATGGAACAAGTGTTTGAACATTGTTTTACATGCATTTGTTATATGCTGGGTAGACTTACAACAAGTTTTTGTAGGAAGTAAGGTAACTTAAAATAAAATAACAAAATTGTTAATAAGTTGATTTTAGAAATGAATATGCACGGATTTAACAACGATAATGTCAGTCTCAAACTTATTACATGATTGTCTCTTCATAGTTCTTTATATTACCTTTATATATCTAAAATGATGTTATAATTTAATAGTTTATATTCACAGTACATCCCTGTAGTGAAGACATTTTGTACAACAATACATTAAATCTTGATGTGTTAATTGAATATAAAGTACTGATTATTACTATGTGTTAATTATATTATAACTATGTAGGAGGTCTCTACATATTGGTTGTTTTAATATGTATTCGGTCTAAGATGCTGCCTTTGAACATAATCAAATTGTTGATTACCGCATGACTCAAGTATTTGTGTAACATATGTATGACATAATTATTATTGGTTATTTTTTTTGTGGTATGATTTTTAGTTTATTTTCTTAAGTCAATTAAATATAATCAAGCCTTGTTTCTAATTTTAAAATATTTTTAGTATTTTAGTACTATTGTTTCATCAGTGCAAATTGATGTAGGACTGTCACTTGCTAAATTGATACTAAAAATTTGTATATCTTGTATAATTCAAATAACAATTTAAAAGAAATTTATTAACTTAACAAATATGAAATAACACAAACCATAATATAAATAAAATATAATTCATATTCTTATGTTATTAATACAAATGTAACACTTATTTGAGGAATTGAGCAAAAATAATAATTTAAATAATAATAATATTTTATTTAAATCAATATAATATTAAATAGTCAATTCCTAAACCATAAAGTCATCGACTGATCCTAAAAACAATTTGGAAAGTATTTTTCCTAATAAACTGAAAACAAATTAATTAATTAGTGCAATATAAAAGACATGATAATAATTTTATCATAATAAATCAATTACCTGTTTCTTTGAATAGAGTAGCTCCAGCTTTAGTTATGTTTAGAGAATAACCTTTAGACAATATCGCACAATGTAAAATACTCTTTGAACTTCTACAAGTATTAAAGGTTAAAGAGATTTCATGTCTTCCCAGGTTTTTAATGGATCCTGTTTTAAAAGAGTCACTGGTCTTGATAAATAGTTCATTATTAGTTTATTTGAGAGCTAAGTGAAAAAGTTTAAAAAAAAAGTTACTAAAAAACTTGATAGTTTATGATTCATTTCCATTGTCGTTCCAAATCTAACATGATCATCAATCAATTTTGACACTCTGATCTCACGGTCTGAAAATCCATATGCACTTAATGCAGTTCCAATAGTTTCCAATCGGCGGGGAAAATCGTTATAGATTTGTAGAGTAATATTAGATGCACGAGCAACAGGATAGTCGATGTTTAAATATGTTGATGTGGAAACCACGTCTCTGTTGTTATTATGTCTTAAAGTATTTTCTCTTCCGTAACGAAATAAAGGTTCGCAACCTGCTAAATCTGGTATCAAAAATCTCATACAGGTAGACGGATGAATTAAACAGAATAAAGGATCCACTTTCTTTATGCCTTTACGTCCTCAAAATGCTCTCATGGGAAAACCTTGTTCAACCTCTTCTTGAAATTTTATTTCGTTATTGTTATTTAATAGAAAGATT